GAAAAAATGTAAATATAATATTTGGTATATTACTGGGACAAAAAGGGAATTTTTAACTAGAAATAACTTAATGAAGGATAACATAGGCACATCAAAACCAAATAACATAATTTATGGGATTAAATGCACAGAATGTGACAAAATTTATGTAGGAGAAACCGGCCGAAATTTAGAGATCAGAATTAAGGAACACCAACAGGGTTTATTGGGGAGAAGGGCGTTAAGCAAAATTGGGGAACATGCATTATTTTCAGGACATAGGCCAGATTGGAATGATATTGAGATATTTCCTAGGAATATAAAATTTAAAAAGGAAAGATTATTTTTACGGGATGGGTATCACGAGAATTTGGGAAAAGAACTATAAATACTTTGGAAGATATTCCGCAACAATATGCTTCATTTTTAAATTTAAAAAGTAGTTAATAAGCTAGTTTAAAAATTTGACATAATAGTTATAATACAATATAACGCGGCTGATGTTTGTTAAAACGAAAATTAAAATTATACCGCGAATGTTTCTTTTAAAAATCGAAATTTATTTTCAAAGAGAAATAGCGACAATCCTAACTTTGAGGATGAGGTATGGGAAGGTGAAACATGAAGAGTAATGGAGAACGGAAAAATAAAAAGTGTCCAGGGGCGGGAATCGAACCCACACCCTTCTGCTTACCGGCAGGTGCCTTGTCCACTCGGCTACCCTGGACGTATTTTTCCGTTCATAACTTATATTTAAAGTAACATTTTAAAATACAATATAACGCGGCTGATGATTGTAAAACGAAAATTAAAATTATACCGCGAATGTTTCTTTAAAAATCGATATTTATTTTCAAAGAGAAATAGCGACATTTCTAACTTTGAGGATGAGGTATGGAAAGGTGAAACATGAAGATTAATGGAGAACGGAAAAATAAAAAGTGTCCAGGGGCGGGAATCGAACCCACACCCTTCTGCTTACCGGGCAGGTGCCTTGTCCACTGTGGGTTCGATTCCCGCCCCTGGACACTTTTTATTTTTCCGTTCTCCATTACTCTTCATGTTTCACCTTTCCATACCTCATCCTCAAAGTTAGAAATGTCGCTATTTCTCTTTGAAAATAAATTTCGATTTTTAAAGAAACATTCGCGGTATAATTTTAATTTTCGTTTTAACAATCATCAGCCGCGTTATATTGTATTTTAAAATGTTACTTTAAATATAAGTTATGAACGGAAAAATACGTCCAGGGTAGCCGAGTGGACAAGGCACCTGCCCGGTAAGCAGAAGGGTGTGGGTTCGATTCCCGCCCCTGGACACTTTTTATTTTTCCGTTCTCCATTACCCCTTCATGTTTCACCTTTCCATACCTCATCCTCAAAGTTAGAAATGTCGCTATTTCTCTTTGAAAATAAATTTCGATTTTTAAAGAAACATTCGCGGTATAATTTTAATTTTCGTTTTACAATCATCAGCCGCGTTATATTGTATTTTAAAATGTTACTTTAAATATAAGTTATGAACGGAAAAATACGTCCAGGGTAGCCGAGTGGACAAGGCACCTGCCCGGTAAGCAGAAGGGTGTGGGTTCGATTCCCGCCCCTGGACACTTTTTATTTTTCCGTTCTCCATTACTCTTTATGTTTCACCTTTCCATACCTCATCCTCAAAGTTAGAAATGTCGCTATTTCTCTTTGAAAATAACTTTCGATTTTTAAAGAAACATTCGCGGTATAATTTTAATTTTCGTTTTATAATAGTTATAAATCTATATAATAATCTTTGTGATTATTATTATATTACTTTATTTATTTATTTTTACTTAATTTATTATAATTTTATTATTATATATTTTTATTTCCAAGATCATAGTCTTTGACGAGTTTAATATTTGTTTTGACTCGCGCTTTAGATGTTGTACTATATTCGAAGAATCACGTGAGAACGCCCTTGCAAACCTCAGAACAATTTTTAATGCCTTGCCAAATGTTTATTTTTATTTACTTCTCCTGACGAAGACAAAAGATTTTGTCGAAACGTTGAGAAAATAAAAAACTCCAACTGGCCGAAGTGTCTATTTTTATATAAATATATTAATATGTTTATAAATCCTAAAATATAAAGTAACTCAAAAACAAATTTCAAGTCAATATTTATCGGATTTCGCGGAACTATGCAATGTTTGACCACTCAATCCAACCATTGCTGTTTTGATAAAATCTAAAATAAAATCTATTCAAAACTAATAAATAATTTGTGCATAATAATATGGGATAAAATTTGTTATTTAACCTAAGGAAAAACAATGTTACAAACAATAAATGTTTACTCTTGGATACCAATTAGCAAACACTTGTCTACACAAATTAATTGAAAAACAAGATATATATTTTCATATATTTAAAATATGGTGTAAAATTGTTTTTTATGGGTAATTTTAATCTTAAGCCTTATGCATTTAGAAGATAGATAATAATAAAAAAAATTAAACTAATGTCTTTGGTAAATGATATAGGACATCTTTCTCTGCAGAAATTCAGTCAAATTTAAGAGCTATCCAACTCTCACAGCGAGTATCCCTGCTGAATAAGTTTTTAAAGATGTATTAAGTCAATCAGTCACACTCCTCTTTATTAGTATATTATAGTTCAGAAAGGGTTTTTGAACGAGTCTATAATTCACCATTTCATGTCCCTGGATAATCACCGATATGAACAATGAGATTCAGATCCAGGGATGTGGCTAGAAAGTCCTATTTTTAATATTCTTACTCTCGAGTTATAAGCACTGTGAATAAGTGTTATTAGGAAACTGGGGAGTGACTAATATATCATAATATATAATACCATTTCAAAATCGACTTAAACAATTCGTTCTCACATCTGGGATAATTCTTTTTTTTCCCACAAACATGTGGGAGTCTGAGAGTCTGTTCGAAATGAAGCCAGCTCATTAAATGATAACTCCAAAATGGACTCTTTCTCTGACGATAGTGTGATGGAAGCAGGTACTCATTTCACTTCAGATAAATACTGATCAGGAATGTATTCAAAAATGATATTCACTCTTTGTCGAAGATGGAATAGGTCCATTTATGCACACTCGGTACCAATATAGATTAGTTTAGAAGGTTACATATTATTGGTCGAAATTCAGTCCTCATAAAAGGCGTTCTTCATAAAGCAAAATATAAACGATTTGTTAATTCATTACCCTGTATTTATTTCAAAATGTGCAAATCTATTGTATACAGCAGTTATATGACAAGGTAAAATGAAAATAAATGGATATTCTCAAGTTCAAAAATCAAATAATTGAATAAAGTGAATTATATACAGAGTGATACAAAAGTTTTGCACAACTTTAAAAATTAATAACTCCGCGAATATTTGCGTTAGAGCAATCGATAAACACCATTGTGTTCAGGATGCAATGGGCAATTTTCAGGGCAAATAATGAAAATTTCAAAATCAATTTTAGGTTCAATTTTATTTTCTAGATGGCGCTCTACCAGAATAGAAAAAAATCTATTTTAGATGCGGCTTTGTGAAATAGATTGAATGTTGAAAAATACTGCTGAAATCAATACACGATTTTTTAAAGTTAATATAGTACCAAAAATTAATATGGCACACTACTAATAGGATTTCTTGCTATAAGAAATATATAGGTTCCATCCAACAAATGAAATAAAGAGGGGTGTGACAAAATCTATTTGTCATACTTTATTCCAAATACCCTATGGGCTTGTCAAATGTTATTATTTCTTATGATACTGTAAAAATAATTGAAATGTGTCCCTTTAAATGAGTAATTTTTAGATCGAAATTTTTACCTTGAATAACGTGATAGTAAAATTATTTTGTATTATTATTTTCTCGAAATTTTCTAAAGTTAGGGGTGTGCAGAGAATATTCCTCATACTATTTCTTCTAATGAGCGAAAAGCGACAAACTAAAACATAAGGGGAAAACTTGTGTGTACCAATGTTATTCGAGAAGTGATAACACTTTGGTCTGCAAGACATGATATAAGATATGAGCAAATTACAAACAAAAGAAATTACTGTTTACAAAAAAAACAAAGAGTCAAGATGTAAGGACAGCATTTATTATCTCCATAACCCAACACAAAGAGCTGCAAAATATTGGTAGATAATATAAAACATGGCAGCTTTATATAACGTTATATAACACATGAGGTAACTGACATCTCTCTTGTATTAGATCACAATCTATGCTCAATGAGGCGCCCTTCATTCTCAAACACCGCCTGCAGACGATTGACGACAGATTGGACAGCATTAAATAACATATCTGTTGAAACTGATGAAACGTGCCCTCTGAAAGAAGCCTTCAACATGGCCAATCTGGTAGGCCGGCATCGATAAACACGCGACTTAATGTACCTCCATAGCCAAAAATCGCAAGGCCTCAAGTCTGGTGATCTTGAAGGCCATTAGCGCATAAAGTGTATAAAATTTATCACACGATCTTCACCGAACGTATCTTTCAGCAATAGTTTGGTATAAACAATACTTAAAGTTGCACCGTATAAGTTTCTTTTTTATGAATAATCAATATTTTATTTCAAAGAGAAATATCTAGTATTTCTAACTTTTTTGAATGACGTATGAAAGGGTGAAAATATGAAGCGTAATGGTCTATATATAATTGGATGACGTATGAAAGGATGAAAAATATGAAGAGTAATGGCGAACGGAAAAATAAAAGTGTCCAGGGGCGGGAATATTTTTCCGTTCGCCATTACTCTTCATATTTTTCATCCTTTCATACGTCATCCAATTATATAAGACCATTACGCTTCATATTTTCACCCTTTTATACGTTATTCAAAAAAGTTAGAAATACTAGATATTTCTCTTTGAAATAAAATATTGATTTTTCATAAAAAAGAAACTCATGCGGTGCAACTTTAAGTATTGTTTATAATCATACGCCGCAGTCCTTTATAATGCATTATAAGTTACTTTAAGTATTAGTTACGAACGGAGAAATATGTCCAGGGTAGCCTAGTGGACATGGCCACCTGCCCGGTAAGCAGAAGGTTGTGGGTTCGATTCCCGCCCCTGGACACGTTTATTTTTCCGTTCGCCATTACTCTTCATATTTTTCGTCCTTTCATACGTCATCCAATTATATATAGACCATTACGCTTTCATATTTTCACCCTTTCATACGTCATTCAAAAAAGTTAGAAATACTAGATATTTCTCTTTGAAATAAAATATTGATTTTTCATAAAAAGAAACTTATGCGGTGCAACTTTAAGTATTGTTTATAATCATACGCCGCAGTCCTTTATAATAGTTTGGTATCGCGGGAGATATGAGCAGGTCCTCCATCTTGCATGAATGTTATTTCGCTTAGTACTTGTCTGTCCTGCAATATGAGAATAACCTTTTCTTTTAAAAGTTGAACATAACGTTCACTAGTTACAGAAACGGTTTTTATAGTTCTTCCATTGATTTCTTCAAAGAAAAATATCTCAATAATAAATGAAATGAATCCACACCAAACTCTAACTCTGAGCTGATAAAGCGGCATTTCTGTAAAACTCTTAGGGTTTTCTGTTGTTCAAATGCAGCTGTTTTGAATGTTAACTTCTCTGTTCAAAGAAAGGTGAACTTCATCTGTCCACAGAACATTCGACAGTCAGTTTTCACAATAAAAATTGCTGGAAAACCCATGCAGCGAATTCTTGAGGCTTCTCAAAAGCGCCGAATTTTAGTTTGTGATATCTTCGAATTTTGTACGGGTATTTTTTGAGAAAAATTCTTAGTATGCACTCCATACTGTTCAATAGGAAATCCATGTTTATCGAGAAACTTGTCAAGCGTTTACTTCTCCATACGTGGATAACGTTTCAATAGCTTCCACATTCTGCGAAATATATTATTAGAGATAGATAAATATTATTCAAATGAATTAAAATAAATATAATCGATAATAAGAATAGAGTTGAATTAAAAATTTAGAATTTTTTATCTTTGAAATTTAAATCGCTGAAAGGATTCCAGCAAACCACATCTAAATTATCAATATTTTTTGCTATATGTTTTAATTTGAATTTATATTTTTTACATATCTCGGATTGCATTTAAGAGCATCCAATTCTTATATCTTTGAAGAAATGGTGTTTTATTAATTTATTATTTGATCTTATTAAGGTTCTTTCCTGGTATTCAAAAGGAAAAATTACGTTTCGATCAGTTTTATTTTTCAATTTATCAAACAATTTGGCCGCTGAATCTCTGATTCTGGTACAGCGCCATCTAACGAATAAAATTGTAACTGAAATAAATTTCGAAATTTTCTATTATTGTCCTAAAATATCCCATTGCATCCTGAACACAATGGTGTTTACAGCATTTCTCTATCGCAATTATCGCGGTGTTATCAATTTTTAAAGTTGTGCAAGACTTTTGGATCACCCTGTATCTAGAAAATGTGGCACTTTATAATTTTTTTTTTTTACCTTTTATCTTCAATGTCGTTCTTTTCAAAATAAATCTCAGCACCAATAATAGAATTATTGATATATATTTAGATAAGTATTTTTAATAATTGTTTGTTATTAGCATTATCTATTTGTTTTGCATCAGCACAATATAATATATTATTTGATAGAGGGCGCTGTTCGTGAGCTAAGTATAATAATTTGAGATATTTAGTTTTAATAATTGATTTATATTTATTTTATAAAATAGCCTATCGTCTTCTCTGTATTTTTTTTACCTATGTATGGAAATTTTGGTTTGAATTAGTGAACTACTGCGAATTTGTATACCGGACATACAAGCCAACAAACATAACAACATTCATTTATATATATATAGATAGATATACACTAGAACTTGGATAATTCGAAGCCAAAGGGAGTAAAAAATTCGAAATACCCAAAAATTGAAAAACGTTTAGAATAAAAGGCTTAAAAGTCTAGGGACCAAGATGAATATTCGAATTAAAGGCGTTTTCGAATTATCCAACAATATAGTGTAAATTGTTAATATAAAAAATAATTTAATAGATAACACAAAATAGTTCTAAAATAATACAAACAATTAGGAAATTATTGCAATACGCTCCACTCCATGTTTCTACATAAGCACGAGTTCTAGCTTGTTGAGCTCTGTTTATATTTTGACCTGAAGTTGAAATTTCATTGCTAGATGTCAGTATTCTTTGAACTGTGGAGTGATAAATTAATAAGAATATCTACCCTGGCGCAAAATTGAATACCGAGCCATTTTACGATATAATTTTTGAAAACGGTTTGGGCATTGAAGAATGCCTGCAAGAAATGACTCCTGTACAGGGAAATGATTGTCCTCGTCGTACTACCATATTAAGGGAGTATCGTGAGTTCCACCAAGGAAAATATAGCATAAGAGACGAGCCAAGGTCAGGATGATGCCCAGCTTCGTTAATTAATGAGAAAGCATCGCTGCTGTCAAGAAATTATTGTAAGCTGATAGACATATAGCTTATCATCAGACAGAGGAGAGTTTAGTCATTCCTCCACTAGCAATTCATTCCATTTTGCACGATCATCTAAAAGTGAGTGAAGTTTGTTCCCTATGGGTTCCCCATTCTTCAACAGATGAGCATATGACTCGACGTGTTTCATGATGCCGAGAGATACTCAACAGTTTTGATAATGGGTCCTCTCGTTATGTCAATAGCATCATAACAGGTGATGAATCTTGGCTTTATTATTTTGATGTGCCTACTAAATTCTAGAACAAAGTATGGATCCTTGTGTGTGAAAGTGAAAGCACGCCTATGTCTGTATGAATATCTAGATCCATTCAGAAGAAAATGTTTAGCCGTCTTCTTCCCCCCTGAGGAGTTGTGAGTCGCACAGAACTGGAAAGTTAAAATACAGTCACTGTTAATTAGTCACTAAGGTATGCCTTCCTAAATTTGTTTAATCTATTAAAAGGTTATGGCCAATCTCAAGGACTGATACATGGCTTTTCCACCATAACAATGCTCTAGCTCACCGTTCGAAGGTCATGCGCCGATTATGTCACACATACAGGACAAAATTTTTGGAGAATCCTTCCTACAGTCCACTACTTTGCACCTTGCGATTTTGTCCTCCTTTCTCACGCGAAGAACAGTCTAAAAGGTAAACGCTCTTTCTGCGATGAAGACCTTTTGAAGGCATGGGATGACGAATGCGCCCTGCTTCCTAAGGAAACGCGGGAAAGTCGGTTTAATGACTGCTTTCGAAGGAGGGCGAAGTTTATTTATTGTGGTGGAAAATATTTCGCAAGATTGTAGATAATAAAGTCATATGACAAAACTTCCCTAGTGCCTTATGTATAATAAACTAATATGGTAAATAATGAGAGCAGAGAGTGTATTTCATAGAAATTTTTGCCATATTCGGTTAAAAAAACGCAAATTATATAAATATATAATATAATATATATATATCTTTTTTTTTTTCAATTTTATTATATAGTCTGAAAGCTGATTTGAACAATTTATTTTCCAATTCAACTAATATGTAAATGATTTCTATACAGCTAATTCTTCAAAAAGTCTGAAGATCTATGGCGAGTCAGCGACTTGGCATGGCAGCTGGCCGGCTTCATGGTACCCAAGGATAATCTCATCCTCGCCCTGGGAGTCAAACAGCCCGCCAGGATGACCAAAGTTCCCACCCATATAACAGTTTACCGGGAGCCTATCCGGGATATTTTCAGACCGGAGATTCCGGAGATCCCGAGAGCGCAATCTTCTCCACTAACTGTTTAACCACAAGAACCTGTGGAAGAAGAGGAGCCGGCTCCTCGGTAATTGGTCCTTCTATAATACTTACTTTACTTTATGAAATGTCTTGATTGATATAGGCCTTCATTTATATATATCCATACATCCCGGGTATATTTAATTAAAATTTTAATTTGAATAAATGTGTGATAAATAAGATTCTCCCTGAGGAAAAAAAGATAAACTCTTCCCCCAACAATTATTTTCTTTTATATATATTTTTTTGAAGAGATTTGGCAATCCATAATTAAAATTATATTTAAAAAAGATGCATATATTGGATTTCTAATTATTTTTATTGTTCCAATATTTCGAGGGGCAACTCGCCTCTCTTTATCGAGGATGTTTGTGTTTTTCACTAGAACACGCGCGCACGCGTACACCATCTCGTTCTACAAGGCCAATGAAAGAACTGTATCTTTGACTCAACTATTGCCTTCAGTTTATATACAGCAAATAATTATATTTATATTTAATATTATATATTATTATTTTATCTATGGAAGATATAGAGATTTATATACAACACAGTGTAATTGTAAAAAATTGTGTTTACATATTAATTCTAAATTAAAAAATCTTTTAAAGCAAAATAAATTATTAAATAAAAGGTATATACATAGTTATTTATAAATAATTAAGATATGAATTCTTTATAAATTTCTGGAAAATCAATTTTTCTGTTTATACTCTGTTTATCTTCGGCAGAAGCCCAACTTTCTAAAAACAGTCTACTATGTTTTTCTGTTATGTTTTTGTATATAATTGTGGTCTGTTTGAAATCTGGTATATGGCTATTGTTTAGGGAGTGGTCTACTAGTAGGGATAATGGTTTGTAGTTTTTTTAAAGCTGCTTTATGTTGATTGATACGATCTTTAAGTGATTTACCTGTTTCTCCAATGTATGTAGCTTGACATGTCTGGCAGGGAATTTTGTAAATTACATTGGTTGTATTTTCTTGGTTTGAAATATTTTTTGTATCTGAGTGGCGTAAGATTTGTCTTAGATTTTGTGCAGATTGATATGTTGTAATTATATTATATCTCTTTAAAATTCGGGCAATTCTCTCCGAACCGTAGCTATATGGAATAGAGCAATATCTTTTTGAGACTGATCACGACTATTATTTGAAGGTATATCTCTCTGTTTATAAAAATGTTTTTCAATAAATTTTTTTGGATAATTATTATTTATTAATTCTTTGAAAATTCTATTTCTTTCTTCTGTTGCACTATTTCTATTTGAGTGGTGTGTTTCTATTCTTTTAGAAAGAGATTTCACTACGGCTAT